AAAATTAAATCACCTAAAGGAAAACATGACAGAGACAGTTTACTTTCAAGATTCTCATTATATCTTCTCATCTTTTCAGACATTCAGAGAGGCTGTACCTTTATGAGCATCATCGGTGGATGACAGTACACTTGGATCTTCTGAGTTACTCCTACAAAAAGAATAAACAGCATCTTTTTACAACAAAACTATTCATATTTTAATTCATGAACACTACAGAACGAATTCTGTAGTGATGTGCTCATAGTCCGACTCCTCACAAAAAAATAAAATAAAAAAGACTTTGAGATTACAAACAGACTAATTATGGATATCACTCACATCAGACATTTTGACAACAGTCTGACAGTAACCATCTTGAAATTTATTATTGAATGTTGTAAAGTTCTTGCTAAAGAAACACTCAAAACCTTCTCAGAAGTTGTATATCAGAAAATGATGCCCTTTAAAAGCACCAACAATCAAAATGACTTCATTTGATAATGACCATCAACTTGGGACACTAATGACTTTCATTACATGTAAACAGCTCACATTCTTCTTATGGGTTTAGAAATGGACACTGGTCATGAGAGTGAGTAAATAATGTAATTTTTGAGAATTTTAGAATTTTTTTGGGTTTACTGTTGCTTTAAAGATCATGGTCGATTTCCCTCCACACAAGGTACTCAGGATGACAAAATGATCAACAATCACAACAACTTCATTTGATAATGACCATCCACTTGGGACCCTAATGATTTTCATTGTATGTATAAAAAAAAAAAAACAGCTGAAATATTCTTCAAATATCTGGCTTTGTGTTCCACAGAAAAAAGAAAAAAAAAAAGACAAGAGGGCATAGGCGGAAATCCCGGGGGGGTCATCTGAGGCCATCTGAGGGTTGTCCCCCCTAAAAATATGATTAAAAACCACGCTGTGCATTGTAAATAACCTTTTATACTTTAAATAACTTTGCAAGTAGTAAAAACACAAACGGGGCAAAAATGGGTTTTAAGTTTAGAAACATTTTGAGTCTCCTCCTCCCTTGCCTCACAGTGCTTTTGTCCAAATACCTGCTTTCCTCTTTTACATTACCTCAGTGTTGCCAAGTCAAAACTGGGTTTATCATGTCCACGGGTTGAAGCAACCCCAATAACGCAGGTAAATTTTACCGGGGAACCCCCCTCAAAAAAGCTAGTTTTGAGTAGCAACAGGGTGGGTTTTGTTGCAAAAACCTGGCAACCCTGCATCACCTACACACACACACACACACAAGTCCGGTGAGCGAGAACAAAGTCAATAGTTGTGGAACTCCAAGGTTGTCAAGGCCATTTTATTCACTTTACGCTCCGGCGTACCTAACTAGTCTTCTACCACGCTACAATCCATCACGCTCCATAAGGTCGCAAAACTCTGGACTTTTGGTAGTACCTAGGATAGCAAAGTCCACTAAAGGAGGTAGAGCTTTTTCACATTTGGCTCCCAAACTCTGGAATAGCCTTCCTGATAACGTTCGGGGTTCAGACACACTCTCTCTGTTTAAATCTAGATTAAAGACACATCTCTTTGGCCAAGCATTCAAATAATGCATCTCATAATCTTTTACTGCAGTTATATCTGATCAAATGCACATTATTATCCTTTAGATTGGGTTAAACAAATAAATTTTGCTTGGTTGGAGGCAAAGGCAAATTTGGAAACTTACCGTTGCAATTCATCAACATTAGAGTTTGTTTCCTTTTCTCCATCACTGTCTCTGGAGGACTCTGCGGACTCACTGCTGAAGCTGGATCCCACATCCTGGACATTTGGATCACCTGTCACAGTCTCCTTGTCCACACCATGTTGTTGGTTTGGCAGGTTTTCAGAATCAATAGGCAGTAACTTGCCATCATTGTTGTGCTGGTTTATAATGACTGAGTCACCAACAGGCGGCAATGACAATGATGACACTATTCGATCCTCCACTATTGATGGAAGAACTTCAAAATTAAAATAAGAACAAAAAATATATATATAATTAGCCATTGACCAATTGTGCTCAACAACTGTATTTTTACATTAACAGAAGTAGGTCCTATTCTTTAACCAAGGCTTACGTGGTTAACCAGATAAGTTTTGGTGTGACTTAGCATAAATTGAATGGGTGAAGTATTGAGTGAGGAAACTATGACATCAGAATCCAGAAGAGCAATTCCTATGCAGGGCTCGACAGTGCGACCATTTCAGTCGCATTTGCGACTGAAAACTACTGCGTGCGACAGTGAAATTTATTTTAGGAGCACCAGTGCGACTGACCCGATCATCATCATTAAAGGTATTTGATAAGCATGTATCATTAGACCTGTTTGAAGTTTGGTACAGGCAGAAGTTGCTCCAATCTGGAGAGAAAAAAGCCAACAAGGACTTGCAGCGCTTTGTCAAAGTCAGGACCGTACTCAACTGGAAACACCTCCTGAAATACAAAAACTCTGTTTCATCTTAAGTTTTCATACAAACCCATTTAAAAACAGACATTAATTTTTTGCAACTTCACAGCAGTTCTCAAACCAAATGTAGCATTTCTTGTCCAGGCTGGACATCCAAAAACATCAAATATCTTGGTTCTCAAGTCTCTGACATGAAGACTGCAGACTTCACTTTTAAGTGCAAGAGAACTCTGGGAACGAACATTCACCCATAGAAAAAACAGTTACATGTGTCATATTCTAGCAATGCCAAGGTCTCAATAAAATGTAATTCTTCTTTTTTTTTTCTTTGCAGGTATACAAAAAAAGTAAAGGTATACATACAGCTCCTGAAAAAAAGACTTGGTTTTGAATAATACAACAAAACTTTATGGATTTAATCTCAATTTATTCAGTACTGCTGAGTGACCTTGGATTACCAAATTTTACTGTGCACACATCAGCTAACAGTGTGTTTATTTTATTATTATTATTATTGTGGAAATAAGAGTGTTGAACTTTTCCTGATGCAATGTGCATTTACACTGTTCCAGCATGAATCTGCATTTCATGTTTACCTCCTGGTGTGATTTAACTATTAGTTTGAGATTCATTATGCTTTTCTACATCAAGTTTGGTTTGTTGAGTCACGTCAGTACCCTCTACAAATCCCTGTTCTGACAGCACACATACATCACATACACGTTTACATATGTGTCTTTTCATCTGGAAGATTTCGTACTTATTCTACAATTTATCTGCAATACATCTCACATTTTTTTAATGGTTCTTAAAGTCACTGACCTGAAAGAAGTATCCTCTTTTCATGGAGTCTTCTAGCAAGCTCAGGACAAGTTGAAGTACGCTGTCTTGTAAACTCTCCATGTCTGTGTCACTCACCTGTGGACAGGCAAATTACATAAACAACATTAATGTCAATATAAAGTTTAATGGTAGCAAATGGGATGTGCACCAATTTGTGCAAAACAAATTTTTTTTTATGCATCTAAATACGCATATACTCAAAATTCACTAAAACAAGGTCAACTCAAGACAACTTTGTCACATAAGCATTTGCTAGAAAATGCTGTAGGAAAAGCTTAAGTACATAGTCCAAACATTACAGCTGTACATATACAAACAATAACGTTTAACGGAGTAAAAATATGTAATAAACTATACAAAATACACAACAGGGTTGTATAGAACTAGTAGTAATGCATGTGTAAGATCAGTACACGTAGTATAGATAATGCACAGTGTTGTGATATGTATTGTCATATGCGGTATTAGCAGTGCGCATTGGCTACATTGTGTGCATCAATTACAGTTCAGCAGTCTAACAGCCTCAAGGAAAAAGTGGTCCTGCAGCCACCTGGTGGAGGACCTGACGCTGCTGTTTTATTACACGTGTTTCTTCCTTGTGTTGACAATAAATTAAAAAAAAAAGTGAAGTGACATGTTGCCAAGTATGGTGACCCATACTCAGAATTTGTGCTCTACATTTAACCCATCCAAGTGCACACACACAGTAGTGAACAGTAGTGAGCTGTTGCCTCCATCAAATTGAAAAAGGTTAGAGAAAAACGTAC